GGTATGTTTTACATCTAAACTCATCCGCCGGCAAACTCCGATGTGTTCTTCTTGCCTTAGCTCAGACCTTAGCAGCAAGAACAACCCCAACTCTCAAGCACAACAGTTTTGTTTTGTTTCTAGAATTCAGTTTCAGTCCCCCGAAGCTTGTTACCCGATTGAATGGATCCACTTTGTTGAATCATTTGTCCTGTTGGCTTTGTGTGATTCAACATTGGACATGATAGGTCTTAAGATTATATGTGCCATAATCATTAAACATAATTTTCAAATCCTAGAGAAATATAACGAGTCAAAGGGGATGCTTTTGACTTTGTTTTCTGAGTTGCAATGCAAGCAGAGTGGTCATTGCTGTGATGATAGATGTTTTGAGCTCACTGTCACATGAGTTAGTTTTGAATCATGAGATATCCATTTCATGCGGGTATGAATTGATAAAAGTGCAAAATTTCTGTTGTAGAATTTTATTTTATTTTATTTTTATTTATATGGGGTGTCCGAGCCAGCTTGCGCGCACCACGACTAATCCCCACGGCCCACTGAATACCCTGCAAACCCAGTAAGCATATAAGGCACCGCGGGGGTGACAGGTGTGTACGCCAGAGCTCGAACCTATATGCAGAGGAAAGAGACAAGCCCCTTCCACCGCTAGGCCAAGCTCCTTAGTGGGGCTGCTGAAAAATATGTCTAGGCTTGCGATCTAGACTTTGGGTCGGCTAAGTCTCAATTTGACTTATTATGTTAGTCTGAGTTTTAAAAATATGAATAAAGGATCTTGGGTTTTATAAAAAAAACATACATGTTAATGCTTCATAATTTATTTTAATTTTATTAATATTTTATATCAATGAGCTTTTATTGAAGAATATTTTTCAACAAAATGAGCAAATCCATTAACAAAACGAAAGGATACCAGTATTTCACTGTTGATGTCTCACATTTTAGTATAGATTTATGCAGGAAAAGACCATTTTACCCTTTATATTGACACCCATGTAACTTATTTTTGAGGGGCAAAAACATCTTTTCAATGAGATCAACTTGTCATTGCAAGCTTGGAAGGGGCTAGAATAATACTTTTACTTTTAATTTGCACGGGGTATTGTCTAAAATACCTTTAAAGATTAAATTTTTTTAACTTTTGGTTAGGGGTATTTCATGTTATAGAGATCATACGAACTTATTAAAGTTAATCAAGTTAATGACTTGAATTATTTTTTTTTATAGAAACACTTATGTTGTCTTAACATTTTTTTATTATTAAAAAAAATAACTTGTAGCATAGGACAAACCACCTAATTTTAACTAAAATATATTCATTAACCATATTTTTATTAAAGCAAATTTCAACAATAAGCAATTTTACCAGATCACTAAAATTGAGAAACCTCGATTGTGGGACAACCGACAACATCTCTCTGCATCATGGCAGATAAACTACCTTAGAAATGAATCGGCCCAAAACCAGAGAAAATACATAGCGAGCTGGCAAACAGTTAGTGGGTGTTGCGTCCTCTTGATAAGGAAATTTGGATAGCATTTTAGCGTCTGGATGGCTACTTTTTGAAAAAAAAACACATTCATTTCCGGGTCAGATGAAATTATACGTTGTTCCTTTATGACTTTTGGAGGAGACGACGAGTCAGTAGATAAACGAAAAGGAGAAATAGGTGGCAAGGAATATCAGAGAAGAAGCAATGAAGAAAGAAGAGCTGATTTTTGTTCCAGGCCCCGGTATCGGTCACTTCGCATCTGGCCTTGAATTAGCAAAGCGCCTGCTCGACCATGATGATCGATTATCAATCACAACACTTGTTATGAACATGCCCTTTACTCCATCTACTAATTCATACACCAGATCACTCACTGCATCACAACCCCGCATCAAACTCGTTGATCTTCCCGAAGTGGATCCTCCCCCATCAGAGCTTTTAACGAAATCCCCAGAAGCTTATATCTGTGATTTCATTGAAAGTTACATACCCCATGTCAAAACTACTGTCACAGATATTATATCATCCCTCTCTAACTCCGATGTACGAGTTGCCGGGTTTATTGTTGATTTCTTTTGCGTGTCCATGATTGACATTGCAAATGAATTCAGTCTCCCTTCTTATATCTTCGTAACCTCCAACGCAGGATTTTTGGGTCTTATGCGATACCTACCCAAACGCCATGATGAAATCAGCGAGGTGATGCAAATGTCTGATCCTGATTCGTTAATACCTGGTTTTTTCAATCCTGTTCCTGCACGAGTCTTGCCTGATGCTGTATTTAATAAACATGGTGGTTATGCTGCTTATGTTAAGGTTGCTCAAAGGTTCAAGGATGGAAGAGGTATAATCGTGAACACATTTGCTGAGCTGGAGCCTTTTGTGCTTAGGTCCTTCTCTGATGATCACCGAATCCCTCCAGTTTACCCTGTTGGGCCAGTGCTACACCTAAAGGGTCAGCCTCACCCTGAAATAAACCAGGATCAGTTGGACAAAATCATGAAATGGCTTGATGAACAGCCTCAATCATCTGTGGTGTTTCTATGCTTTGGAAGCTTTGGGAGCTTTAGCCCCCCACAAGTGAAAGAAATAGCACTTGGCATCGAGCAAAGTAGGTTCAAATTCTTGTGGTCCATGCGTTTTCCACGCTCTCCGTCTAATCAGTTCATGAATCCTGAAGATGTGTTACCAGAAGGATTCTTGGAACGCATAGAAGGACGAGGAATTATGTGTGGATGGGCACCGCAGGTTGAAGTCTTAGCTCACAAGGCAATAGGAGGGTTCGTGTCTCATTGCGGGTGGAACTCCATCTTGGAGAGCTTGTGGTACGGTGTTCCTATCGTTACATTGCCTATATATGCTGAACAGCAGCTTAATGCATTTAGGATGGTGAAGGAATTGGGACTGTCAGTGGAGCTGAAACTGGATTACAGGGTAGGTGGTGATCTTGTGACGGCAGATGAGATAGCAAAATCTGTAATATGTGTTATGCAAAGTGATAGTGAGGTGAGGAAGAAGGTGAAAGAAATGAGCGAGAAAGGCAGGAAGGCTGTGATGGATGGTGGATCTTCTTTCACTTCCATCACACAACTCATCCAGGATATAACAGGAAACAACTGATATGAATACCGCCTGCTAGTAAGGGTTGATTTCCATTCTAGTTGAAGAAATTGTGTGTGAGAAATAAGGTATTCCTGGATGTAAAACGTTAACAATGTTTTCCACATATAAGCCTTTCATTTTGCTGTCTCATGAATCTCTCTAGTTGTTCTTCTAGTTTCCAAGGTGTGTGTTGTTTTCTCAACTTGATCTTCTATTTTGTTACAGAGTCCTGTTATGGCTCCTGCTGCAGAAACAAATATATCAGATTTGAAGTCCTCAAATTTCATCATGCAGTCTTTACAAGGATAGGATTGCAGAGTTGCTGTCTTGTATATTTCTGTCATATGGACCCCCAAGTCATTTTTGCAGTCTTTTTTTTTCCATTAATCTTTGATTCTGCAAGACTAGCATGCTCTCTGTGTCTGTTGCTTGGCATTCGAGGAGTGAGCTCTAGAATTTTTGTTCAGAAGGAAAAAAAAAAACGAAAAATGCTCTAGAATTCTCTGCTTACAGCTCGCCCCCACTTGGGACCTGGTCTTGTCTGCCGAGCTGTTTAGATAATTACGAGTCCTTCGGCCACTTAGAAAGGTGAGCCAGTCCACAGGCTCTAGTGAGCCACTCCAAAGGCTCCAGTGAACCAGTCTTCAAATCTTATAATTGTTCTTCAAATCTTTAATTAGTTTTACTCAATTTTTTTTTATTTTTACAGCTAGATTTCGATCCCATGACATGATCAGTCATCAGTGTACAGATACAACCGGATCTGTTAAGCTAATTATAATAAGCTCAGGTTGAATTTAATTACTAACAATTTGGGTTAGGAAAATGCACAGGAGGATTTGATGAGATGGACTTCCTTGCATGGGATTTGTAAATTGCGTGAGCTGGAGACGTGTTTTTGTTTTATCGAGGAAAACCATTCATTTATTCATTCTTCCACTATAGGATGCGCAGAAGCGAGACATTAGGAACACTATTCGCTTTTTATTATTATATGATAATGTTTATTTTTTAAAATATTTTTTATTTATAATATAAAAAAATTATTTTTTATATTAGTATATTAAAATGATTCAAAAAAATATAATTAGATTAAATTATAACTTATCCCTTGCACTCTATCAAGAATAATTATGACTTTATTGCCTATATATTAAAAATTATTAAATAAGTTTTTAATCTAAGTTGATCATCCATAGTTATACTCTCTTTGTCTATTATTATCGACCCTTTTTGGCTTTTCAAAGTCAATATAACACGATTTTGATTTATTTATTTTTTATATTGATTAAAAATTTAACAAGAAAAATGTTATGAAAAATATAATAAACTTTAACTAATACTTAATTTTCCGAATTTAGATCAATAAAATAAATTAAAAATATCATGTCAATGCTAAACTCCATTGACTTCTTTACATTAACGAGGGACCATTGTAAAGGGACTAATCAGTAATTTTATATTCTAAAAATATCTTATTTTCAAAATAAAATTTTCTCATATTACCTTCTTCATTCAAAGATTTTGTAGTGTTCAAAATCTAATTAATAACATTATATTAATTACTTAATAGAATATGCTTCAAGGAAGGAGATAAAATACAAGTGAAAAAAATTAAAATATATGACTTATAAAAAAAATATTTAGATATTTTTGCTTGATATTTTTTTTCTTCTACTTCGATCTATTTATTTTTATAAAGTAAAATCTCATTAAAAAAATAATAGAATATCACTAATTATATTTTGTTCTTCACCTCTTTTAATTCTATTCGACAAAAAAATTAGAAAAGCACAAGGTTTTAATAGAAGGATTATGCTATAAATGTAATTAAAAAGAAATAAGGATTGATAATAAGTTTTTAAATTACAAGAACTAATTAATTAGTTTTGTTAACTACAGAGGCTAAGGTATAATTCATCCAGTGCTGACTGTTTCGGCTGCAGCCTGTACTTTGTCAGAATGATCAAATGTCAGCAGTGAGATACGTCTGCAGAAGAAGATGATTGCAGGTACCTGGATGCTGTCTTCAAATCTCTAAATTGGAAAAATAATCTCAACATCCATGGCAACCCTAGGGAACCCTCTAGCCTCTGTCCCAATGAGCTCAAACCCCACCCTCTTAACTGCCAATAACGAACAGAAAAGCAATCCCTCCACAGTCCCAGTACTCATTGACAAATGTGCCAACCAAAAACACCTGAAACAACTCCATGCTCATATGCTACGCACTGGTCTCTTCTTCGACCCTCCATCGGCTACCAAGCTCTTCACTGCATGTGCCTTGTCCTCTCCCTCGAGCCTCGATTATGCTTGCAAGGTGTTCGACCAAATTCCCCAACCTAATCTCTACACTTGGAACACCCTCATTCGTGCTTTTGCTTCAAGCCCCAAACCCATCCAAGGCCTCTTGGTATTCATCCAGATGCTTCATGAGAGCCAACGTTTTCCTAACAGTTACACTTTCCCTTTTGTTATTAAGGCTGCCACGGAGGTTTCTAGTTTACTTGCTGGAAAAGCCATTCATGGAATGGTTATGAAGGCATCGTTTGGTTCGGATTTGTTTATTTCGAACTCACTTATTCATTTCTATTCCTCATCGGGGGATTTGGATTCGGCTTATTTAGTTTTTTCGAAGATTGTTGAGAAAGATATTGTATCATGGAATTCAATGATATCAGGGTTTGTGCAAGGGGGTTGCCCCGAGGAGGCATTGCAGTTGTTTAAAAGAATGAAGATGGAGAATGCGAGGCCCAATCGTGTGACAATGGTGGGAGTTTTATCAGCTTGTGCAAAGAAGATAGATTTGGACTTTGGTAGATGGGCTTGCGATTACATTGAGAAGAATGGGATTGATATAAATTTGATTTTGAGTAATGCAATGCTTGATATGTATGTGAAATGTGGGAGCCTTGAAGATGCTAGAAGATTGTTTGATAAGATGGAGGAGAAAGATATTGTTTCGTGGACAACTATGATTGATGGGTATGCAAAAGTGGGTGATTATGGTGCGGCTAGGAAGGTTTTTGATGTCATGCCCAGGGAAGATATTACTGCCTGGAATGCATTAATATCTTCTTATCAACAGAATGGGAAGCCAAAAGAGGCACTAGCCATTTTCCGTGAATTACAGCTTAACAAGAACACAAAACCAAACGAAGTTACACTTGCGAGTACCTTGGCAGCATGTGCTCAGCTGGGAGCAATGGATTTAGGTGGGTGGATTCATGTGTACATAAAGAAGCAAGGCATTAAGTTAAACTTCCATCTCACAACCTCTCTTATTGACATGTATTCTAAGTGTGGCCATCTAGAGAAGGCACTTGAGGTGTTTTATTCAGTGGAAAGGGGAGATGTGTTTGTATGGAGTGCCATGATTGCTGGGTTGGCAATGCATGGGCATGGGAGAGCTGCTATTGATTTGTTCTCAAAGATGCAAGAAACTAAGGTAAAGCCCAATGCTGTGACATTTACCAATTTATTGTGCGCTTGTAGTCACTCGGGACTAGAGGATGAGGGCAGGTTGTTTTTCAATCAAATGAGGCCAGTTTATGGTGTTGTGCCTGGTAGCAAACATTATGCTTGTATGGTTGATATTCTTGGTCGTGCAGGCTGCCTTGAAGAAGCTGTTGAATTAATAGAAAAAATGCCAATAGTCCCAAGTGCTTCTGTGTGGGGTGCTCTACTTGGAGCATGCAGAATTTATGGAAATGTTGAGCTCGCTGAAATGGCTTGTAGTCGTTTGCTTGAGACAGACTCCAATAATCATGGAGCTTATGTGCTCTTATCCAATATATATGCCAAAGCAGGCAAATGGGACTGTGTTTCTAGATTAAGGCAGCACATGAAAGTTTCTGGGCTGGAGAAGGAACCAGGTTGTAGCTCGATTGAGGTTAATGGCATCATTCATGAGTTTCTCGTTGGAGATAACTCTCACCCTCTCTCCACAGAAATCTACTCTAAGTTGGACGAGATTGTAGCTAGAATAAAATCAACTGGTTATGTGTCTGACGAGTCCCACCTTCTACAATTTGTTGAAGAAGAATACATGAAGGAGCATGCCCTTAACCTTCACAGTGAAAAATTGGCAATTGCCTATGGGCTTATTAGGATGGAACCATCACAACCAATTAGGATTGTGAAAAATCTTCGTGTTTGTGGGGACTGTCATTCAGTTGCTAAGCTCATATCTAAACTTTATAATAGAGATATACTATTGAGAGATCGGTATCGGTTCCATCATTTTAGTGGAGGGAATTGCTCGTGTATGGATTACTGGTAAATAAGGGTGGAATATGGTTTGAAGATTTCACCTCAATTCTCTACAGAATAACATAATTCCTCATTGTAGTCTGGGGAGGAAGCAAGAGTGATGGGGTTGTAGGAGAACTGGGAGTTCCAAGCTCAGTGCTTCAAGCTTAAGTAAGAAAGAAGCATCTTACTTGGATGGTATTTCTGTTTTTAACTGTGATGCAAAGCAAATGCATGGAATGTGAAAATCCAGATTTTGTTTATGTTTTCTAGGTATTTCTTTTCCCCAGCACTTTGTCAGTATTGAAGTTTAAAACTTGGAAGTTATACTCTCGGTGTTATTTTGCGCACTTTATGTTCCCTGAAAATGATTACACTCACGAACACCGATGGGCTCTTAGAGGAACTTGTCAACCATTACATTTCTGGAATGTGCCGATGAGGATTCAATTTCTTGAGTAAAGCTTAGTTGATCGCAATCCAGCTCTGTTAATAGTAGATTTTAGGAGGAACTTGCAAATATTGTAAACTTGGGAAGTTTGAAACATATTTACTGCTGGAGGCTTTCATTTTGTTTTGTTAAATGATGAGTACAAACCTCTAGTTGATGATAGCTTGTCTCCTGACTGTAGGGATGGGTGCTGCAGTAACCATTGTTACTATGTAGAACTTGCAATTTTTACCGTGGAGTTATAAGTTGACTTCTTTTTGCTGATTTCATAAAGAATCAGCAAGCTAGCTTGTTGCTAGAAGTTCAATGATTATTTTGTGCTCCAGAGTCCTTGAAGTGAGTTCGAATATCTTGACCACATTTGTCCTTCCAGGTGCTGCCACATCTTAAACCTCCCATTGGGAAGCTCTGCGCTGTTGAGGGTTCAGTACCTACACTGCAATAGTTTCTTCACCAGGACCTTCAATTCCTTTACATGTACTGTTGACAGTAGCTGAAATGTTGAAGTTTCTGAAATAGAATCCAGTATCCAGCAACATGAAACGAGATTGATCTGATAGATGAAGTGTCGTCTAATCCCATAAATACAAGGTTTCTTAGTAATGGACGACACGTCTTAAAGAAATACCCTGGTAAAAAATTATATTCATCCTGAACAGCAGAAGGTGAAGCTTTTTTTTTTCTTCGTCTTCATATTGTGAGCTCTAAAGAGTCTTGAGTCTTGACGGAGCAGCAATCCAAAACAACGAAAGAAGAAGCTAAAAAACCTGGTAAAGATCCTTGAAACCCTCCAGTTTGTTGAGTTTAACAGAAAATGAAACCAGCAAGCTCTTGTTGATAAGCCACATGTCAAAAACCCACAACTTGATGTTAGATCCGAAGCCTTCTCATTCCTTGGTCTTCCCAAAGTGTATATAACACACCCCACCTCGTTCCTCACTCTACAGATGCTAAACGTCTCTTCTAGTTCAACAAGACCCAAGCTTTGGCCTTTTTGTTTGTTAGCAATGGAAACTTTAACTGGCTTGTACACTAAGGTATTTACAAAAAACAATAACAAAACTTTATCACCATCAAGATCAGCTCAACTGGGTCGATCTGATATTGGCTTTTCTCCATCTCCAAGTCTAAAGAGAGCACATTTTGATCATTTGGCATTGTGTGGACGCAGAGATGCTCCATTGCTGGTCATGAAATCCCATCCTGCATCTAATGCAGAGGTGACTTGTTTCTTTAATAAGTTTCTTGGATTCTCATTTCTTTGTGTATTTGTATTGATATCTGAAGATTTGGTTCTGTTTGTTTATATCATGTTTTTCATTTAACAATAAACAGGATAAGAAATAAACTCATATGGCCTTTAGAAACAGGAAAGGTTCATTTATGCATTGTAATCAGAATGGATACATTACTGCGTCATATGAGCATGTTTGTATTCGTAAAATGTTAAACATTGATTATTTCCATTTCCTTGATTATAATTGATCAACAGTATCGCTTAGTGCATTCCCCCCTCTAAAGATACTCGCAGGTTGAATGTTGACAAAGAGTACTAGTTATTGTCAATTAGCTGATGTGAACAACTTGAAAGTCATCGTTGTGATTCTCTGATATCAGAGGTGCAACAATGGTGCCACTTCAGTAGTATAAGAGCACCCTTCATATTTTGTTTCAAATTGGTCATGAGCTATGCTCTTGCTCCACTGAGGTCACTCTTAAGATTAAGATACGCTGGAGTTCTTTTTTTCTGCTGGAGTTCGTTTTTATCACAACATAGGAGCTTAATCAAGTTCATATAATAGTTTCATCTTGATTGACTTAAATTTTCAAATAGGTGTTGGCTGGCTTGGAGACTGCAGTGTCCGGAAACCAAAAAATGAGTAAGTCAATACTGTGTTCCAAATTCTTATATCCAAGTTTATGCTTACTGTGATCTCAAAATACTGATTGTAGCTTCTCTGCCTCCCAGCACCAGAAAAAACTGTTCACGTTAAGTTCCAGTTGCAGAGGGAGTGCATGTTCGGTGAGCAATTTCTCCTGGTTGGGGAAGACCCAATGATTGGTCTGTGGGATCCATCAAATGCCATACCACTCGACTGGTCAGAGGGACACACATGGAGTGTTGAGCTGGTAAGGAGGAACTATTAAAAGACACTATTTTACTGGTATTGAATGAGGTATAAAATACAAACTCTGAATTATGGCAGGATTTGCGCATTGATTTGACGATGCAATACAAGTTTATTCTTAAAAGAAGCACGGGAGAAATTCTTTGGCAACCTGGTCCGGACAGAATATTCAAGACATGGGAAAGCAGTAGCAGTGTAGTGATTGCAGAGGATTGGGAAAATGCTGGAGCTCAAAAAATCATGGAGGAGCAAATGATCAATACTCCAGATTTGGAGTCTGTTGGTGCTGGAAATGTTTCTCTTCAGGGGGGAGAAGTTATGTCTGATGTCAACAAGGATTTAATGCTTTCGGGGCACATTGCCTGTGCAGAAGATAAATCAAATGGTAAGTATGAGGTTGTCAATGGTATTGCCTATCCAGCGGAGGGAGATATAATTAATGCAGACATAAAACTTGAGTCAGGGGAATCTTTTGGTGGCAGAAAAGAGGTGCCAGTGCCAGAAGACAAGAATAATTGTACAACTTCAACTTGCAAGAACCCAGTAACCATGGAGGATGAAGAAACCTTGTTGACTTATGAACAACGCACTGTTCTTGTACCTGGTTTGAAATCCTCCACAAGCAGTCTCTAGTGACGAAGCACTTTCCAAGGTACTAGGCTCCATTTATGCTGAAACCTCAATTGGAATCTAAGCAACTAAGCCCAGAACGTGCCTGGGGCACCTTTTTGATGAACCAAATTGTTGTTGTTATTATTATTATTTTTTCAGACTTCTGCTCTGGGAGCAATAATCCACGCATTCTCCCTGTTTTTGCTGAAATATATTCGGGACTTGATTATGTAAATATAGCTTCTCTTTGAATTTTGTCTTGTTGAACTCGCTGCCCCTCACTAAATATATATATCGCAGCCCCTTCGCTGTTTGCTGTGTTATGCTACTGAATTTGCTGCACGATGGAACGATGCCAAGGTCTTAGACATCCTGCACCTGAGATCCAGTTTGCAATTTGCTAATTTGCCAATCCAGAATTTTGCTAGCTGAATCTCGTCAAGCTGAACTCCTGTTTCTGAGGACTCCACCTAAATTTTTGCTAGCTCCATGACTCAAGAACTTGACTTTCATCATGGGAGTACATATGCTTCAAAAACAGCCTCCTGCCTAAACGGCTTGAAAAGCAAACACCCATTTCATTCCTGTACTTCTAGGATAGCATTTCATAATGTTCGACCGCTGGAGAGCAGGACGTGCTTTCTGTGTTGAAATACTATCTTAAGTCAGTACTGCTCAGCTCTGGATCAAGTCCAAACCTTGAGGTTCGTCAAAGAGGGATCGGCGAGCTGCTTTGCTATCGAAACTTGGGCTGGCCATTTCATTGTTACTTCCCTTCACAATTTGCAGAGTCGAACAATCTGTTCAACTCTCATCGATTTGAGCAACTCTCCGCTCTTCGGTGCAAATTAAAAGAGCAGCTATAATTGAGATAGAATGTGATAGAACGGTATCAATCTGGTGAAAGGCATATAAGCCTGTATAGGGTAATATCAGTTTTCTAGTCTCCTCTGGTGACCTCCTGGAACCTTCTGATTTGTTGGGATCTGTTCACGTAACACCTACAGAAAAGGATTACGAAGACTACAAGCTATGCGATTCATCAGCTTGACACCCTCTAACCAACATCCAAGATGAAGCAGGCACCGGGTCAAAAGGAGCATGCCCTCGAGGAGGCGTGAGGACTGAGTGCCTGACGGTAAATGGTGTCATGACGAAGTGAGACCAAATCTGGGCTATCGGCCATTTGGCCTGTACAATGAAATAGTATCAGATGCATAATACAAGCCATCCATCCCTTGCATGTCGATCCAAATTACCTGTCATATATACCTGTGAAAAATTTGAACCAATCATAGCACAAATATCTATGGTAATTTCCGCTCAGAAATAACTCAAGAAAAACAGAGCAATCATCCATATGACTGACCATAGGGTGTTTCATTTTTAAAGTACTTGGAACTTGCAATTACCCATTGGCATCTTACAGTAGAAAAAAGGGATTGAATGCCACCACAATGCAAGGAACCAATTGCAATTAACATTCCACATATTATATAGATGTGAGATTGCCTCTTCCTAAATGACGTCAAACTGTTCTACAAATCCATCCCTTTTGAAAAAACATATCATCAGACACTCTGCTCTGTCAAGCCGCAACTATGCAGACTTTGATGCAAAGTTTCACAATACGAAGTCTGGGATCAACCCCAGTTCCCAAAACAAAAGCCATTGTCACTATCAGAAACCATGATAAGAATCATCTGGTTGTGTACTGGCAAAGTGAGCATATCTAGTGATGTGAGCATTATCTCTCTGCTTTTCGCCTGTGATCATCTCTTTCTCGATGACGATTGGAGGAAGAATCCCTCCCATGTGCAGACAATTTGTCCCCTCGTCTCTCATCTTGCTCTTCTCTGAAATAGGACTCTGTTTCATTCCTTCTTGATCTCCTTTCTCCCCTCGTATCATCATCTTCTCTTGACTTGGGTTCAAATTCATCACGATCATGCCTCCTCGATATTTTTTCCTCCTTTCTATAATTATCTCCTCTCAACTTTGGTTCAGGTACAATATCCTTGTGCCTTTTCAATCTATTTTCATCTCTCTTATAATCATCTTCTCTTGGATTTGGCACAAATGCATCATCTTCAAGCCTTCTTAATTTCTTGTCTTCCCTTCTGTTATAATCTTCTCTTGGCTTCTGCACAATCTCATTATCATCATGCCATCTTGATCTCTTTTCCTCCCTCCTATCATTTTGTTTAGGATGGCTCTCTGAGGGCATGTTATAGCTAGATCTTTCCTCACTCTTCTTAGGACCATCAAACATTTCATGTCCCCATCTAGAACCTTTATCTTGAGCACCCCAGCCTGTGTTTGCAGCTCTCTAGATACAAAAAGAAAGCAAAGCATAATTATGTGAGCCAGCTGTAATGAAATGCAAAATGAGTTGCAAGAACCTAATCTGCACAGCAAATTCAACAAACTTACCCGACAAAGTAATTTAAACCAATAACATAATTCTCCTGGTCAGGAGATGAATTAAAAAAAAGATAACAAGGCAGTTGAGAGGATTGAGTGATGATTTCCAAATCAAAGAAACAAATCCCCAGCCAGTTAAGAAGGTATGTGAATAGGAAGTAACGACACCTTGAAGGCTTAATGCAGCAAGAAGAAAAGACTCTCAATCATCATAGTCCAGCTCAATGAGCCACCTTTGTAAGCAAGATAGAAATTTTATCTCGAACCACAATCAACTACTATCAATACTGATCTCCGTGTTGGTATTGGAATCATTAAATCAGTGCTTATGATGGGCAGTTCCAATGCATGGACTATTTCATGGCATGGGCAATTTCTCTGGTCATTGATTCAAGGATTCATTGTAAATACACATTAACAAACACTGACTACTAAATAATCAGACTTCAAATCAATGGATATGCAAGTCACTTTGTCACCAATTTGACCACAGCTAACTACAGACAGGGAGGTTCAATTTCATGGGCAAATTTCTAAGAGCAACCTTTAAAAGTAGAGCAGTCAGCTGCATGTGGATTGCATGAAAGAACGGTTTAGATTTTAGAACATCAACGAGTTACTTTCAAAAAAAAGACAGTAAAATTATACTGAAAAACTTATAAAAACAAACACTTGAACAATGATTCTCTTATGTAAGACGAGTACTGTGCAATAAGCAATATCATCCAATTAATTTCAAAATGAAATAAAGAAAAAGGTTGAAAAGGAGAAAATATTAAAATCAAATGTTAGTTTTTAAGACCTTTAAATTCATTTTGAAGCTGCCATGCCTATTAATTACGTATAAAAGTACACAGACTACTAAAGGGACAGCCATCCAAAAAAAACAATGATATATCAACAAATGCCTTCCCCAGGGATCTATGAACCTTACTTGCTCATCATGGGAAAATCTGCACCCAGCTCCACGATTACATTCACCTCTCTGGAAAGCATGACAAACCCCCCGAGCCTCCCTCTTCTGCTGCGCTGTCTCTTCATCTTCTTCTTCTTTCTTCTTGTACTTAGTAACGTGGTCAACCCTTATAATTCGGCCAAGAACCTGAGCTCCATTCAGATTATCTGAAAGAAAGCCAAAAAGATTTGTCCATTGCAAGCATATTAGAAAGCAAAAACACTTAGGTAGTAACTACTGTCCATTGCAAGCATATTAGAGACAGGGGGAACCAACCTACAGCAAGATTTGTACTTCTCTGATCCTCGTATGCAATAAATGCAAAACCTTTTGATTTACCAGTACCCTTGTCTCTTACTAGATTAACATCAACTACCTCCCCGTATCTGGAAAAACCCATTTTGAAACACATAAATATTAGTGAAAAAAACAAGATCATCTATTAGCTAGTCCCTTCAAAATCACTTCTAATTAAGCAGCTAACTCCGAATATAAGAACTGTAATAATCAACAGAAAACCACACGCTGCCTTTTCCGAGACCAAAACGAAAAACCCACGAATGTTGAACCCTTTAATCAGTAATTAAAAATAAAAATACACAGAATTGAAGAGGGAAAGAGAGAGTTACTGAGCAAAGACAGCGAGGAGATCGCCTTCAGTGAGATCGAAAGGAATGCCACCCACAAAGACATAAGCAGAGTCTTTGTACTTAGCATGCCATGATGCTTCCTCTGAAATCCCTAACGCAGCTTCTTTTGAGTTTATGTTTTGGATTCGTTTCACCAGCGTCAATGGATTCATAGCTACCACCCCCTCTCCTTCTCTAAACCTCTCTTTTCTCTCCTCCCTCTCTCCCCGATTTGTCTTCGATCCTTTTCGCCAACGTTAATGGGCCGGTAAGTGGTTTCGTCTTTTTGATACGGTTTAACTGGACCGACTTGTCTAGCCCGCCCGCGTGGTTCCAAAGTTCCAATACAAGGTTTATTGTTTTTTTCCCCCTGAATAACAACAAATAAAAGAGATGATTAGGGTACTTGCTCGTATAAAAATGGGTTTTTTTGGGTAATTATGGTGTTTAATCTCACTTTTATGATGTGAAAAGGGAAATAATCAAAGAATATTGATGATTTTATTATAAAGTAGATGAATGCGAGAGGCTGATTATTGTAACCAAAACAAAACTGAAAAAGGTAAAGTATATTTTCTTTGTAATTCATAAAATTTTCAACTTCAATCACAAACTTAAAAAAAAAACATTATCTCTCAAATCCTAAATTATATTATTATTAACTTTAAAGCCTGCAAATTTAATTAAGGTAAACACAAGTTAACATAAATATCCATATTAATAAAAAAGAAAATTATCTCAAATTTTTAATTTTTTTATCAATATTATATCAGGTTTCATGTCAATTATTCTTTGTTTTTAAATTTTAATTGTTTATTCATTTCAAGATTCATGGATATATAAAACATGAAGAATGGTTGATATAAAAACATCAACATTGTTAATCGATCGAGCATTTATTTCCTTGTTTTTAATCAAAAGTAGATTTTTTAGTTATTAATTAGATAGATGATCTCGGGCTTTATAGTGAACTGAATCTTCTTCTTCTTCTTCTTCTTCTTCTTCTTCTTTGCAAAAAAAATATGCAAGTGTTGCAAACATGCTTCTCAGTGCATAGAAAAACTTTAATCACGTGATAAAAAGTTAATACAAGTCTTTAATATATACTAAATCAAGAATTATATTTTTCCATAAATGTCAATAAAGCTTTAACGCTGACCGGGGATTGAGCCGAGAAGCTGGAGCTCTTAATATGTTTTAATTATACAACAATGAAATTGTTCCTTTTTTAAGAAAACTAATGGTCTAAACTCGGTTGATAAAAAAACAATTTTTAGATGTAATTCATCCTTTTATTAAAAAATAAAAAATAAAGAAAGACATCATATTACCTGCAACGGAAAATGACGCCTCGCCTGCTAGGATGATGGTCGGTCATTCTGGTCCTTGTGACCCCAAGAACCCATTTTGCAACCAACTGGTCATCTAAAAAATACTATTGTTGCAACCAACTGGTCATCTAAAAAATACTGTTGAAATACTTGAACCTCTCGCTTAGTGGTCAACTGCAAAATTTATTTTGTGATTATCCCGAGTTTCATCTTCTTTGCGTATCAGTCTGCTACTCTTGTGATATTTTATTTATTTAGTGAACTTACAAGATATTCAATAAATTTAAAAATTAGTTATGATTCGTATAAACTGATCCGGATACCCCAAGTTATCAAAAAAAAATACTATTAAAACTTTAATAAACTCATTGATGAAGTCGTATCAGACTCTAAGCGCCTCGTAAATAAAAGGTTATGTCTAGTATTTTAATTTGGTTAAATTTTAAATTTATTTTTTTAAAATTATTAATTTAAATCTTGTAAATTTTAGAAATATTAAAAATTTACATAATTGTTAATTTCAAGTTCAATAAAATTAGTTATAATACTCATAAATTGGTCTAAATATTTATATTAATAAAAAAATTCTAGTAAATTTTTTTGCCGAGAGAAGGGGCTAAAAATATTTTGAAATAATATAAATGATTTTAATATCTTTTATAATAATTTAAAATTTTAAGTTAAAATAGTTTTTTAATATAATATTAAAGTCTTGTCAAATTAAGTGATTATAAATTTAAATTTTATTATTTTTATTTTATTTAATAAAATTAAATACAAAATAATCATAGGTTTGTACGTATACAGGATTCAAGGTTAAAACAATTTAACTGTCTAATAAAATATATTATAAAATACATCAATTGACTTCATTTGAATTCTTAAAATTTTAGGCTGGAATGATTTTGAAATAATA